ATGACTGTACGACCTTCCACGTGGTAAATTTGGATCCCAAAACCGGAGCAGTCAAGTCGAAGCTCACGAACCAGGGATACAGTGACAGTAGCTGTTGGGCGCGGGGCCAGGCATGGGGGATTCTGGGGTTTGTGCAGACCTTCGGGTGGACCAGGGAGACGGAATTTCTTCGCACTGCTAGAGCGCTGGCGGATGTATTTCTTGCGAGATTGCCGAATGATGGCGTCCCGTATTGGGATTTCGATGCGCCTGTTACTGACACCTCACCGCGGGATACTTCTGCTGCCATGATCGCCGCTTGTGGAATGCTGTTGCTTTATAAGGCTTATAAGAAGCTGCAAGATACTGACGCAGCTAATCACTACCTTCGGGCCGCGATGAAGCTGGTGGATTGTACTGTCGGAGGGTATCTTAATCCCCCACTGCGTTTCGAGGCTGGCCCTTCGTTGGAGGTGCCCGTCTACGCTGACCAGTGTTCGGCCCATCAGACTGAGGCTTGCAAAGGCTTTGAAGCACTGAAGGTGGTCGGGGACGCAAACGCCTCTGAAACTATCTTGACGGGCGCGACGATCAATAATTATGAGTTTGCTCCTCGGCGGTGGTCGAATCACGGACTTGTATATGCTGATTATTATTTTTTGCTGTTTGGAAACATGCTTCTTGAGATGGACTTGATTGATGATTTTAAGAAAAGGTAGCATGGTACAAGCATCAACTCCCCATTTGGGTGGGAATGTAGACTTAGAATATAAGGGTTCGACGTGAAAGCGCAAAACAATCAATCACGCAGTTTTGTTACTGGCCTAGTTCTCAATTCCGTCGGTCGCCGAGTCCTTGGTTAGGCCCCGCGTATTGCCGTAATAACTAATCCGCTGTCCTGGGCTAGATGTCACGTCGAAGAGGTGCGATATATCTGTCGGCATGAGACTAGTCATGGAACTCTCCGAATCATGCCTGGAACCTGACTCATGACTGCGGGTTTCAAGGGGAGAAGAGATACTAGGATCCGATGGCAGTTGCATAGTATAAAAAGAGAATGGATCTAGGCCTGTCGGCGAGAAATCCTGCTGGAAGGCTGGTGGCAGCGGTGGGAAGGCTAGGCTGAATGGGTCGAATGAGCAGCCAGTAGACTGCTGCGTAGGGAACGGAGCCAGATGTAATGGTCCACCAAGCGACTCATAGTCAGGTGGATCATCCGAGTTTGTTCCCACGAGATCCTTGTACATCTCCTCCTTAGACTCATCTGAATAGGCGGTCGTGCGAATATCCAGGCTCGGACGAGATACACAGGCTCGGTTCTGCTGGGCTTCGATCAGTCTAGTTGCGAATTTGAATGCTAGGCTGTCCTCCTGGTGGGCTTGACTGCCGTCATGCTGTCTTGTCCATCGCTGTGAGATCTCCATCAGGTTTGCTATCAAGGTGTTGAGAGCTGGGGATGGCGGCACCCTATTGTGCCTAGCGTGTGCGAGGAGTGTGCGGCCGGCGATGAATAGACAAAAAGAAAACTGGGGGTTCGTGAAAATGGGAGAAAAGGATAAGAATTGATCAGCAATAGTTGCTATCTCTGAAGCTGCTTCTAAGCACGTATCGGCGGAGGATGCCGATGGGAGCCTAATAGGGCATTTCTGCCAGTGCGCTGGTGGATAAGCAATGCCTTGATGTAGCAGAATTACCGCCGTGTTGTGGGTTATGTGTGCCAATGTCAGATTTGGATCCATGACCCTCTGTTCGTTTAGGACGCAGGCTTCGCGCCATTTAGGAGGTAAGTGGATTTTCCATCTGCGCGCATCAGCATCATAGCAGAAAAGAGAAAGGTGAATATACTCACTGAATCAGTCGCAGATCTAGTTCCTTAAATTTCACTAGCCATAATCGTGCTTTGCTGGCATCGTTGATTAAGAAGGCGTGGTGAAGGTAGAAGTTTGTCACTAAGGCCAGAGACTCAGTAGCCTCAATGATGTACGCAAATGCGCCGATGGCTTGCTCTTCACAACCATCCATGGTAGTCGAGTGACTGTTAGGCATGGGAGTGTTCTTGATATCAGAGATTCCAAAATATGGGGTGCAGACTTCCTGCTCCTTCTCCCATAGAGCGCCTTCACATGGAAGACAGCGCTTTACATCCGCATTTCTGAGACTAATCTTCCAGCCTGTAGAGACGCTGCAGAAGCGGTCCATGAGAAAGACGGCCCAGAATACACGTCGCCGCTCCTCCGCTTCGCTCCACGATCGAGATGGTGTAAGAAAAACCATGCGCCTGATTAGCCGTTCCCCAATGCCCTTGACGCGATATAGGTCATCTTCTTCTACTCCAAGTTGAAGTTGCTCTACGGTTCCTGCCATGCTGCCAATGATAGACCATGACGAGGGCCCGCGACCGCGATTTATCTGTTCGAAAGTAAATCAGTCTACTTCTCTCCAAGACATAGCGTGGCCTCTAGCTCACTGTTTCAAATGCGACAATCACCAGCGCCTGTAGATTCTCAACCGAGAAGGTTTCAGTGCTCTGCAAGATTACCTCTTGTCGACTTTTCTTGGCGATCTCTTTCATATCCAACGTATCGCCGTATTGTTTGTTTTTTGAGAAGCGGGCACAGACAGAGACAATGGCATGTAAGATGCAATTGATATGCACTCGTTCTTCCAGCGATCGCATCCGCTCGCGAAATTTCTTGACGTGTAGTATCGGTATCCATGGATGTATATTGATGAAGTAAAAATCGACGAGTTCGGTCAAGACGGCATCAGGCAAGGGGCTGGCCACGCGAGACTCGGATTCTAGAGCAACCGCATGGTAAACCAGCTCATTTCCCAGGCGGGCGCGTTTGGCTTCGGGAGGAGCACATTCTGGTGGCGCAGAATCGGCTGTATTTGCTTCTGTGCTCGTTCTTTTTGTCGCCACGTTTGCAGAGTCTAGTATTGAGGCCTTCAGCTGCTCCCGACGCTCCGCCAGGGTCGTGGCTGCCGTGGTTCCCTTGACCAGGGATCGCGGGGGCTCAGTGTTCGGAAATAAAGACTGCCACATCTGCTGCCAGAGCATCTCCTGGCCCAGAAACATATTCTCGAGCGTCTCGACGCGGCGATATAGCTGGTCGACCGCCCCAGCTCGGAGACCAGGCTTAGTTCGTCGATCATCGTAGACGCAAAGGACATCCGATCGCATACATTGTGAACAGGGCTGCGCTCGATTGCATTTGGCCTTTTTCTTGCGACAAAACTGACAGGCTGGGATTTCCTCCTCTCCTTTGGTAGTTGTCTCCGGCAAGTCTCCTGCGCTGGCGGTGGTTCTCGCGGCTTGAGATTTTGCGGTCATCGGGTAGACAGGGCTGAAATTATTGAGGTTCACGAGAGGGATGTTTTCTCCAGGAGAAAAGGAACGTCTGACATACAGAACTACACATGCTCAAAGACGAACACCCCTATGGGGAATTCCTTCTTTTCCCCGCAATTTGCACTCGTCATGCCACTCCTGGAACATCCTCTTTGCCGTTGAGCTTAGTTGACATGGAGCCCTGCGCTGCACCAATCAACCTCCTGTCGGCGGGCGGGGTAGTTGCCGGCGAGTGTCCGACGCCGGAGATTTTCCTAAAATGCTTTAGCAAAATGTTCGATTTGCTATATTAGAAATGTGAATTAGGAAATGGATCGACATATTCGGATAGATCACTGATCAGGAACTCCCGCTTTTAACTGTAGGTAGTGGTTCGTTGCTACTGTCAAGTCTTGATCAGGAGTTGGGGCGCGCTGGCCCTAATCGTACAGGAAAGCCGGTTTAGTCTCCGACCTTCACTAACTCACTTACAGTATCTCGAATAACACCGGATATTTACTGAACTAGCATGTCAGTTCTCCCCGAGTTCCAGCGTTTGCTTCTACTGATGCGTATAGGACATAGAAAATGTATTTCGTGCGGAGTGGAAGACAGACCCACCTGCAGTTAATATCCAGGGTCCATGTCTTCAGGGAAGGATCGGCGGGTAACTTACGTATGTGCAGGGGGCACCAAAGACCCTTCCCGCGTGGGTGAGTGCATCATGAAAATCCTGCAATGCACTCTAGACTATCCTGAGTAGAATGCTCCGTAAAGGCAGAGAACAGCTAGGTGGGGCGAACGAAAAGAGAGGGAGTTTGCGAGCCCTGGTGCACGGGATCCACCTGGCCGCGCAACCTGTCAACCCACAATCAGTCCACCTCTCAGAGAAAAAAGCAGATTTCCAGAATTAGCATCAACTGGGTGTTTTAAGGGTCTAGCCAAACAAGCTTGGACCACTCACTTACCAACATGCAACGCACTCGACACGAGGTTTGTGTGGAATGAACTCTTACTACTACGAGCCGAGATTGCAGGAGCATGAAATGGTTCGTCTTCACATCTGTCACCCATAATTGACGTGTTTGCTGGCGTATCGCACGCTACCTAATACGGAAGAAGCTTTGTATATGCCGGTAGGGGTACCTTAACGGCCTATCTTTCCTTTTTCTTTCAATCACATCTAGCTCGGTGGTCGACATACACCATGTCTACGTTTTCTATCGGCTTTGTCCCTTGCATGAGCCGTCTTTCAAGGTTGCTGATTCCTGCAGACAATTCAATCGCCCCTTTTGCAGAGTGACTGGATCTGGACTTACTGAACCTCCCAACTCCGGCACCATAGGTGGAGCATGCCCCCACACAGTCATGATCAGTAGCACAAGTATATCCTCCACATCACCCTGCCGAGACACATTCGGCAGAAGGTACACCCGTAGTGAATGCATATTAAGTCCCCCTTAATCTTCAATCATGCCATCGAACTAAGCCTTCCCACTTAAGTGCTCCATCCGGTGACGTCCCGTTCACCCCCTGATGAAATGCTATTTTAGTAAACGTTAGGCACAAACAAGTCTAATTGATACAAGTCAGAAATAACTGCATGATGGAGTACTACGGCGAGGATAGTAGGAATAGTGATGATAAGGTTGAAACACCGAGTATAAGAGCCACTTCTTCCTTCAAATTGTCATGTCTGTACTCTAAAAACAAGAGTTTGATAGGACCCCAAGGTTCCATTGAATGTATTGGCATCCTTCAGAGTCTTTCCCGACCAAAGTTCAACGACCTTCTGAGGCGAGCCAAGCCCAAGACTCGCAAGGCTCAGAGACGCAGTCTGCGGATAACTCTTCTCGTTCAGTAGAAGCACAACATATCCCCCCTCGACATTTCCAGCCCATACCTGAAAGAGGCCTTCCTTACTGTGAGCCTCTCTATACGTAACAGGCTCTCCAAGAGCGTCTTGATTGACAGAAATGATCGCCGTATTGGTGAGCACACCTAAGCTATCATTGGATAGCTTGCTCAGATCAGCCCCAATGATCAAGGGTGATTTCAGCGCCGCCCAGAACGCAAAGTGTGTCTGTTGCTGGTTAAGTGTGAAATTGGCATTTCCGACTTCGAGCATATCCATATCTAACCAGTGACCCTGGGTCTGATATTGGCTGATTTCTTTCATCTTATTGATGATCGTCAGGACAGAGCAACCGGCATATCCAGTGTCAAGACAGTAGGCTGTCTTGCACTGGCACTCGGTTTCATTGGTAAAGCTTGTCGTGATATCGCCAGACATTCTGTAAGAGTGACCGATATCTATGGACAGGCGCAATGAGTACCTCAAAATGGAAGATCGGTTTGTTTGTGGGTTTTATCTCACCTCCTCCCCAGTGCCAAGGGAACTGATAGCCCCAACCACACACAGAATAGAAGATATCCCGGCCCGAAAGTGCGAGCGCATTCTTCATTGCCCCAAAGCGGATCTGAGGGGCCTCCGTCATCGACTGGAATCCGCCACAGTTGTCGTACTTGAGATAGTCCACGCCCCAACTCGCGATCGTTTGGGCGTCTCTTTCTTCATATCCCCAGCTTCCTGGCCTCCACGCACATGTGTAGTGCCCACTGTCTCCGTAAAGGCCTAATTTCAAGCCCTTAGCGTGCACATCTTCGGCCAGTGTCTTGATTCCCTGAGGAAATGACGTTGCATTGGCTTGAAGATACCCGTCGGACGTGCGATTATAGCTTGCCCATCCGTCATCAAGCAGCACGTATTCGTAGCCTGCTTCCTTTAGCCCGAGAGTACCGAAGCGCTCCATAACATCCTGGACTATCGTGTAGTTTACCGTCGCTTTGAATGCGTTCCATGAGTTCCAGCCCATCTGAGGTTTTTGCGCCAGGCTATTGCCTCCCAGTACGGAGCGGACGAAGGTTAAAATCGCCACGATGGCCAAGCGGAATGAAAAGTGTTGATGATTGCGTCCCATTGTGCTGCTGGTTATACTGGTTGATTTGTGTGCTGAGCTAACCGAGTCGTTTATGGGGCAATTTCGATTCATTTGTAGCAGGTTCGCTTCTCCATCAGTGACTAACTATGCAACCTCCGGTCGTTGTCCGGGTTCTCCGCCGTAGTAGCGGGGACAGGTAGAATAGAGTTAGCAGCTAATAGGGCTGCAGCCTGTCAGACGAGTGATATATTCTCATTGGCTTGGTCGGTGGATGGGGTTACGGTGATGCTCCGGGAGATCTAGCGGCCAAACTACTACTAGTGACCCTAAACAGGTTCCCCGAGTTCCTAGCTAAAAACCCTTCAATTAGATCCTTCTAACTCACTATATCTCGCATCTTGAAGCTGCTTTTGCAACACTTGTGAAACCTCAATATGTTATACCTAGGTCTCCTTTCTTTGATTGGTTTTGCAATAGCCACAACGGACCCTCTAAGCTACCGAAACATTCCCGGCTATGTAGCATCCAGCTCCTCAAATGCGACGACTGCTCTAGATTTTATCATGTCTCGGTCCGACTTGAGCATCCTGTCTGAGAAGATCGAGGAACTTGGCGGATTTGCCCAAGCTTTTGACACAGATCCAGATTGGAAATTTACATTCTTTGCGCCGAATAACGATGCCTTTGAAACTTATACCGGGGCATACTTTGACAGTTTTGAGCCGACACCGTATGTCTCATCAAACTTCCTGATCTTGTATCACTGTTACTGATCCCTCGTAGGAAAGGGAAATGGTGGCTGGGGAACACCATCATCCATCACTATGTGCCTAATTCCGAGCTCACATCAGCTAGTTTCAATGAAACGTTGCAGCGATTCCAGGTGAAAATACCCATCCAGATGTAATGCGCATAGCTGATATCAAGATTAGACTGCCACCTACCTCTTCGTGAGCTCGCAAGTACAAGACGGAACGGTTGTTCTCAACCAAGTGGCAAGAGTAGTGGAATCAGATATCCCGGTTACCAGTGTACGCACTCATTGCTTTCTTGCAAGACCATCGAACAATAATCGCCTAATAATGATTGACATAGGGCGTGGTGCACATCATCGACCGTATCCTAGACCCATCAGCGCAGATTTTCGAAGCCGATCTTCTGCGGATGTCGCAAACGTTCATCGCAGGGAGTTGCTCGAATCCTCAGCTTTCATATTGTTGATCTAACTCAGCCACTTGCAAACGGCTAGATTTATCCCAAATTTATCGTTGTCAGAATATCATCTTGTGGTATCAACCCTGCCAATATTCAATAAGTAGACATCCGTAGGCTAATGAAATCCCACCAAGTGTTGGTTTCATTCCTTCACAGGAATCATACCCCTGTATATGAGGAGCTCCGAGCTAAAACCTACCGAATCAGCCATGGTAATTTCAACGAGTCACTGGTATTCTCCGTTCATTCGGACCACCAAGGCCAGGCACCTACCATAACCCCATAGAACAAAGAAACAGATAGTACAGACAACAAGCAGCAGACAAGGCCAATCCTGCCACGTCTTCTGTTTACTTGGTAACTCTGATTTATTTATAAATCAACAGCATCACCTCACCCTCGGGCCCCCACACCATCATTGAAACTTCTACTGAAAAATACTAAAGCCGCGAACCAACTCCTATCCTACCTCCACCCTCAGCAAGCGAAATACATCCTTCTTCATTCCGCCACCCTCGAAAGAAGCCCACCCAAATGAACCTCCTCAACTACCTCTTCCTCACCATCTACGCCACCACCGCCCTATCCACCTCCATCAGTGCCGAAGAAGAGTGCGGCTCTCTCGGAGTACTGAAAATCGAACCTGCCGATCTCCCCGAAGGAGTCACTCCCGCGGATGTCCGCAAATGCGCAGACCATCCGCTAGGCCATTTGCCTCATCCCGGTGCTGCTGCAGGTGGTGTGTTGCAGCGTATTCTGCCGGGTTGGATGTTTTAAGAGCGATATCATCTTTTTTTTTTTTTTTTTTTTGGGTGTTGGTTTGGTTAGGTTTATCTTGGGGTGTGAAGGTTGAATTGAACATATCTCGGGGCAGAGGGTTTGTCTGATCCATGAGTGATTAGGAGGGCATGGTGTCGTGTTATGGACGAATGAACAGTTTGTATTGCAGCGCTGCGTATGCAATAAACCGGGTGACTGGGGGCTTTCTACGACCAGAGTTCTGGACATGTACGTCCCGAATGTTTCTTCCGAGCCGATTAGTTGCAAGTGTTTAAAGACATTTGCTAGACAGATTTAAAGCTTCCGAATTACCTCCGACCCAGATGCCATCAGCTTGCAAGTCATATGTACTCTTCTCACCGCGCACATGGTATATAGCCTACGGTCGTAGTCGATCCCCCCTAAACTCCTCCGCCGGCCAGCCCTGCAACGTCGTGCCATCCTCAACATGATCCCCCGACAACACCAGCGTATGCTCCAGCAGACACGCATCCTTCCCCATCGACGCCCCCGACAACAACCGAGACCCCGTGCGCATCACACTCCGATCGCCCACTTTCAGCGTATGCAACTCAAAGTCCCCCCGCGTGTTGAGATGGCACACCAGGCTAGCATCATCAACCGTGACTCTATCCCCCAGCGTCACCAGGTCCGGCTCGGTGAGGAATATATGCGGTTCACCGTTGGCGCTCAACGCGCAATCCGCCCCGATTTTCGCCCCCATCGCACGGTAGAACCAGCAGAGGTACGCCGTCCCGCTGAGTAACGACCTGATGCCTATCCCACCGAAGGTCTCCTCGATGAGAATGTCGATGGTGCGCTGGATCTGCCAGCGCTGGCAATAGCTGCTACGGTCATAGGGATAGGAGCCCTCCCGTCGTCGTCCGAGGAGTATCCACTTGGTGGTGATAGCAATTCCCAGAGTCACGACTCCTTGAACTACAGTTACTGCCGCCATAACCGCAGCCAACACACCATACACGGCAAATGGACGCCACCATCGCATTTCAAATGCCATTCCCTCCATGGGGAGAAGATGGCTCAGCACCAGCAAGGCCGCCAGCGGCACCACCATTGGATACACGGCCGTAAAGGCAACCATAAAGCTGGAGTACCCGATGATAGGCCCCTGGCCCAGCACACGGTAGTTTGCCTTCCCCAGGTAGAGGGCGCGGCCGAATGGCCTTGTCGTGTCACGCTCCCCATCGCCGGAGTCCTTCGCATCATCCCCCTTCCCCTTGAGCTGAGGGAAGCGGACAGCATCACCATGCTTGCTGCCAGTCCAGACACTGTCATCTGGATAGGAGCCATTCCGCCGTAGCAACGCGCCCGAGCCCACCATCGTGCGCGTCCCAATGGTCACCCCGGGAAGCACCACAGATCGGTCCCCCAGCATGGCCCCATCCTTGAGGACAATAGGCTCCCTCCCCACCCCGTCCACCGTTACCAGGCACGACCGGGAGCCAAACACCACGTCGTGTCCGATATCCACCAGGTCAAAATCCGGGATCAATTTCAACTCAGTACGGGGCCAGTATACGCGTTTTCCCACGCGTCCACCCAGCAGTCGTACCGCCATAGAGACCAGCTCGTAGTGCGGCCCCACGAGCTGCGACAAGCGGGAGATGTCTCCCTGTGGAATGATGGTGCTGAGAGCCGCGTGTCGCACCTTCTGAGCCGGACGCTGTGTGTTCATAGGGCCTCGCGAGGGCCGGCCACAAATTACATCCAAGCCACGTTTCACGACAAGCACCGCCAGGAACCACGCAACTGGTCCCGCTACAGCAGAATATAGTCGCATGAGAAGGAAATAGCCAATCCGAGTGCGGCTAGTGAGCCAGGACACGGTGTGTCGCAAACGGTCATCCGCGACGGTCGGGTAGCGACTTACGATGGGGAGCAAACCTGCGATGCGCGGCAATTCCGACACGAAGTGTACAAGGATCTGCAGCCACCCCACGACCAAGATCTGCCAGATCCAGTGGGGCTGCATAGCCCTGGCAGAATATTGATCACGATTGGACTCGTCCGCATCGTCGAATTCCCAGGTGGACGAGTTGGCGCCGATACACGTGCTGGGGGGCAGCGTGGTCCCAGGTACCACGGTCGATCGAAGGCCCACATAGGAGTTGGCTCCGATGGTGATGGGCTGTAGCAGCATCGAGGTATTGCGCTCACTCGCAAATGGACGGCATATGCAGTTCTCAAGCACCACACCGTCGCCGATGTGAAGGAGATCGTACTCCCCCAGAGCCGTAAACTCGTCGATAGAGACATTGCGTCCAATACGTGCACCCAAAGCTCGATAGTACCAGATCCGGCTCCTGCCATAACGGTCGAACACACCCTGGAATCTCTTGGTCAGCTTACCCTGTGGACGGGGAAAAATCACGATTCAGTACATACCTTCCCACACACTTGGAGCGCTTTCTGTGACAGCCACCACCGCATATGGTACGGTCCCCACATCGGATACATTCCTGCGCAGTATCGACCAACAAGGAGCCATTTCAGTGCAATGCCTATTAGGGGGGAAATAAAGGCCATCAACAGCTGGACAGTTAGTTGGACGAGGATGATGCCAAGAAGCCGTCCAAAGAGATTCGGACGCAGCGGAAACCGGGTCGATATTTCAGAGAGCAGATAAATCAAGAATGTCCAGCGCAGCGCCTGAAGCATTGGGTAAAGAATGGCAGATGGAACAAGGTTCAAGAATAGCACCCACGGCTGAGTGGAGCTATATGTCTCCCGACAACCTGGAAGCTCGTGGCTTTCAACTTTACGTGTCTCAGAAGCAGCGATCGCTGCCTCGATGATGGCCGTGATGGCGCCTACAGTACTATGCTGGAAAAGAACATCCCCTGCCACAGGCACCCGGAACTCCTGCCGGATCTTGGAAATGAGCTGGCCCGCACTCATACTGTCCCCATCCGACTCGAAAAAGTCGGTCGCAGGCGTCATATCTTCCGGGGCAGCTCTGAGTGCCGTTGCGAAGAGATTAGATACCCGCTGCTGCGTGCTTGACGTGGCTGTTGCATGCAGTGCAGTTAGCTTGGCTTGCACAGCAGCCTCGTCAATCAAGCCATGTGTGTTGCGTGGTACAGGACCATCTAGCACGTCCAATCTGCTGGGAATGAGATATCCGTGCAGAAGCTCTGAGAGGCTGGCGAGGATCTCCTTCGTCGAGACCTCACCAGTTCCGTCCCTGAAGATGATGGCTCGGGGGTATCCGTCCGCGTGGACTTGCAAAAATACCTCTGACAGTCCCGAAACTTGTGCAATGCATCCCTCCACCAAGCGAAAATTAATTTCGCATCGTGTTCGAACGATCGGTACGCTGACAGGTGTATCCACGGGCGGACACAGTGCCTCGTAGTGCCGCTCGGCCGTAGAAACTTGATCTGTCAATGTCTCCAGCCCTAGTCTCTGACTTAGGCCGATGCGTCGCAACTTGTTCCGTGATTTAGGAAGGTCATCCATGTAAACCAGAAGAACAGGCCATTTAGGCTGATGAAGTCGTTCCTTCAGAGCCTTGTGTATTTGACGAAGATCAGGCCTCATGCGACCTGCTGGGGTTACAACCGCCACACCAACAACTTCTTGAAGGGCATCATGGGGAGTAGGGAATGCCAGAGCCTCTCTGATACGTCCAAAAATTATTCGATGACGGGTCTCGGGAAGCTGATACTAAGGCATCCTCGACCTCCACCGGCGATATCGTCTCCCCTCCGCGATTGATGACTTCTTTCGTCCGCCCGGTGATATAAAGCCACCCATCCTCGTCAACATATCCGAGATCGCCCGTGTCAAACCACCCTGCTGGAGTGAACGAGCTCCGGTCCAGTCCACTTTTGATGAGATAACCCGGGAATATGGGCAGGCCTCGGACACAGATCCTACCTATCGTGCCAGTAGGGGCACGCTGCTGCGTGTGCTGAGTATGGAAAATTGCCAGCTCTGGCCCTGCGGCCAGTCCGGTGCTCCCTGGCCGACTAAAGCGGCCGGCCTTAGGTGGTGCCGTAATGGGTACACACTCAGTCATTCCATAGCTGAGTGACAAGGAGCATTGAAATATGTCCTGGAGCTGCTGTGCGAGACTTGGGGGCAGTGCTGCTGCCCCGTTGCATATAAATGTAATAGTGCTTTTCCTAACAGATTCAGCCCGTTGCGCAGCTTCGGCTACTATCATCTCATGCATTGTTGGTGCTGCATAGTACCACGTTGGGCGATGCTCTTTCACCATATCCCAGAAGAGGTTCGGATCAAATTGGGAGCAACAGATTGTCATACCCCCGGCCACAAGGGGAGCCCACAAGCTTCGCATTATGCCGCCACTTTTTGTGTTAGTACAAACCTTTTCGCGTTTGCTTTGCAGTAATAAAGGGATTCATACATATGATGAAGTGGCATCATATTCAAACAACGGGACCTAGAAGTCAAGTCCAGACTGTCCATCAGGAATGTTGCACTGACAAGAAGATTGAACATGGTGATTGGAACTAGCTTTTTTTTACCACTGCTCCCACTCGTGGCCAGAATGATGGCGAGATCATCCGGGCCATTGGGAGCGTGTTGGGCTCGACACGGTTCAATGGAGGAGTTTGCGCAAGTAACACTGAAAGTCAAGTCATCCTCTGGTTGAACTGTGAAGACGAGTAACTCCGTCCTTTTCTGCAGCCGTTTCGTATCCGATTCAAGCATGAGAACTGCATCTGCCCCGACCGCGTCAAGGTCAGTCATTAGTTCCTCAGGGGCTGCTGTAGTTGCCATTGGCACAACGGTATAGCGGTTCGCTACTGCAAGCAAAGCCAGGGCCAGGAGAGGCCCGTTGGGAAGAACGACTGCCACCCGCGGCTTCCCACAACTTGGGTCTGGGAGCTTAAGATCAAAATTTTCTATGAACTCCCGAACCTTTGTGTGTGATATGACGCGGCCTGACCTGGGTTCCAGGAGGGCTGGCTGCCGGGAATCACATGAGATGAAGTTGGTCATATGGGGCATAACCGACTTTATTCTCTGCTGAACATGATCAACTGTCACCACCCAGTCTGGCGAGCTGCCATCCTTGGCTGCCTCTGGTAGTTCTTTCCAGTGCTTTTGGTAGCGTCGCAACAGATCTTGAAATGGCAAAGGTTCACTCTCCCCGTATAACGGCTCGGTAAGCTGGATGAATGCGAGTTTGGGCGATGGTTGACACTGCCCTTGCGATTCCTTCTGTACTCTGTAAATGTTAGGCTATCAGCACATGTCTAGCCCATCTAGAAGCTCCAGTCAACGCACAGACTCGCCATGAGGACAAGGACGTGGGCAAAGCTAGCAACAGGGATTTGTATCGGTAATATGGGGGGTTACAAGAGAGATAGGGATACTTGGGGCGTGCGCAGCAAGCCTGGCAGTCCTTTGCTTATGTCTGAACAATGGCTACCCCTCCCGTAAGCCAGAGAGGCCGGTCCCATCCCCTTGGAGAACCCCAGAGTGTAGTGTCATATGCATATGCAAGCCACACCGCCGTCGTTCACACCCGCCATTGCGGACAGATTGCAATGAACTTAGGGGCGATGCTTCAGATGTAGGGAATTTCACACCGACTAGATTTTAGGTTGCCAGAAAGATAACTTCACTTGTGATTTGTGATGCGTGGACCTTAGTGATTGGTACATGCAGTCTTGCGTCTGTCCTCTGCAGGTCGATTTCCTATGATTGTGTCGCCTTGCATTGGAGGCAGTGGACTGCTTGGTATCCCCGGAACTTAGTACCGAAGGGATCTTTTGACTCGGCGATACGACAGTCTCTGTACACATAGCGTGATCGACAGCCCGGGATTTATTGTATCCTCTCGATGACCACTGCGTTGTACTACTATGAGCTCTGCGCTGGCATGACCTTGCTCTTGCTCGGTCTCCCATTTCTGGGAAACAATGACCATTATTTAAGGATTGGCTCTGCTGACTTTCCTTCAAGGTTTCTCGCCCATACTTTACTAGCAGGTAGGCTACCGCAGCAGAAGGCCTAGATAATAATTTTCATCGGCCACAGGTTCGCTGTTTAGTTTTTTGACTCTGTGCCATCGCTCGTTATATCATTTCTCCAATCAGATGTGTTAACTTCGATCGGATTCGTCAATCAAGCGAGTCATAAACGTAAACATAAACGTAGAAATCTGGTCAGCAAGGACATTTTGAGCATCGGTCAGCTGTCCAAAGATTGCATCTTCCAATTCTGTAGATGCGATTGGCGACAAGCACCCAGGCAGTTGGTATTCTGGCCCGTTGAGGAAGAAGTGATAAAGTATTTTTATCTTTGGTTCATGATGTGGATGAGTGGCCATTTATACAGGCGATCGTCCCCACTTCTCGACAATGGAAGGAACACGAGTGAAGGCATTGTTTGCTTGTCGTCACAATCTTGCCAGCTCATTCCCAACATTGTTAAGTACTCTCGCTTTTTCTCAAGTTACTTCTTTTTATTGATGTAGATATTCGCGAGGCTGAAAGACGTTGGTCGAGTCTGAAGAGCGTACTCACACCCTCTTGGTCAAGTTACCCTTCTTGGCCTCGAGTTCTCAGGAAGATTCTGGCGGGGCAGCTGAACAATACGATTATACATGCTATAATTGACGATCAGAACGCTCACTCTGTCAAACAATAAACCTGGCAGTGCATTTATACGTGTTTATCGCTATTGGATCAGGCATGTAAGGGGAGATTCTGATAAAGACTGTCGTCCAAGAGGAAGAGAGTAAGTTCTGTAGAACTTTATAAAGATCAATATGATACTAGACGCGAAACTTCTGGACAGCTACCTCTAAAAGGCAAATAGGAAAGAAATCATCCAATATCATATGGCGCAATACGAAAGTATTAGACACACTCTCTGACGAGCGTTGTTGCAATAGTTGCACCGCATCATGGTTGTTGCCTGAAGATGACTAGAAGCACCTTTACTTATAAGACAGGAAGAGACGAAGTAAACTGCAGATACTTTTATTCGATCTAAATACATCTGAGTTCATCTTAGCTTCGCCCGAAGGCTACTAATCACCGGCCCTACGTAGAAGGTTAGACTCATCGCCGGTGGGCGTCCCCAAACTCCGCCAACGACTCAAACCAGAGGTTAGTTCCCAAGCCAACGAGATGTGTACGCAACTACCACTGTGCGTCATTTCCATACCATATCCAATCTCCCCGTTCTCCTGAGTCCTCAAGACGAGTACCTTCCCCCAAGGCACCTTGATTCTCCCAGAAGTTGAGTTCAATCGTTGAATGTGAATGGATCGGCAGCAAAAGCTGGAGGCGGCGAACGAATCACTGCCAACTGCTGGAAGACAGAGGCGCCCGGTTGAGCAGCTCTGGCTTCCTGTAGCTTGCGATACCATTCTCGAAGCTTCGGGGCCTCATTCTTGAGAACGATAGCAAAGCCAATAAAATTTGCGACAATCATAACCTTATTCAACTCCGTCCAATCCATTGTTACAACCAATGTCTTAGAAGAGCAGTGAGAACTGGGAGAGAAAAAAGGAAGAAAGCCAAACGACAGGAAAGGGGAAAGGGTTTATACCTTTGAGGCAAACCCATTCGTGAAGGATCATATGGACCAATTCCCTCAGAAGTGGGCTATATACAGGAGGCTATGAAGTAGGATCCTTCTGCGGCAGCGAGATGGGCAGAATTCCTTGTTGTGAACAAAGAGAGCTTGTGGCAACGAGCAAGTTATAACATGTGGCAGCGAGCAGATAGACTGTGCAGCAGTGAACAAGGCACAGTGCATGGTTGTCAATAAAGACGGTTTGTGGCAGCGAGCATGATATGGTGCTGTGTGCTCCTACAGTGCTCTATAGTTAGCAAGCATGTGACGATTGGGTGAAATTTTGCTCGTTCTCGCTCTTTTCTACAAGGCGAATATATCGACGTACCTTTTAGAACTCATAGACACGGCCCAATGCGTGCCAATACCCAATCATGAGATTCAAGTAATTATAATAATAATAACAAGTCTGTAAGGACAATAGTGCATCCACCAATGGCCTTCCTAAGAGACATTCTCTGGTAATCAATGTCTTAGGCTGAGCTTGAAGCGGTACTCCTGCTGTATATTTGCATGCTCGATGATTCCTTAATCTCCCAGCCACAGCAAGCAAGTGTGCACGATGTCTCGACGTCACAACAAGTGAAAAAGAAACATCATATCTTTGTTTATTCATTCTGGAAGTTGTCGGGCCCAGCAAAGCACCATCAAGCAGCTATTCCAGGTCAGCATTAATTGAAGCAGCTATACTGTGGTATTATCGACTCACTGGAGCATGTCAACAGACACGGGATAATCAATCCATCGCAGAAGAGGTGGAAGTCACTGTGCTTCCTCATCAACTCTCCCATAACCCTCCCTTCTAGTCAGCATGGACTATCCCCATTTCATTCTCCGAATGTCAACAATTTTGGCGGCTCTTCAGTCGCGCTTTTATTGTGTACACTTGGATGGAAACTCAACACTAACGCGACTCAACAACGAGATATCACCGTGTCAAGAAGTTACTTAGTATATATAACTTGTCAGCTCATTTATCTTCGCACCGAGGATGAGTGAGCATGGCAGAAAGGTCTATCCCGTGTGGTGCAGGATGGCTGGAGTAGGAAATTCGATATTCGAGATCTCACTCAGTCGCGTCAGAAGTATATTTGCTGCGTCAATTGAGAGCTCCTCTTTGAAGCCGGTTTATTGTCAGAAAAGGTTGGATTTGGGGGAGAAGTTGTTGGCATTGTGCCATTCCTGTAAGGATGCAAAAGGTAAACAATTGAGTGCGATTGTAGGAAGATTCCGAACGACAAGATAAAGACGTTTATATATGTCAGAGTATCTGACGTTGACTGGAAGTCCCAGATTATATAAAGGCAGGACCCAGGCACATCTCATGAGATAGGGATTTTCCAGAATTTTGTTTTGGGGAAAGGGGAAGAAAAGTAGTTCGGGGGGTTAGAAGGTGGATTAAATAGCCCATTTCTGTTTACGTATATTGGGTTGAAGGTGAATGCAATATCTCTCTACATAGTGACGTTCGATGCGTCGCGTTAATAAGAGTACAAGAAATGTGCGTTAATATGTTGGGACAACCTGTCATGGATGAATTTTTATCTTCACTGGCTTTGGTCAACTAGTCCGGCTAATTCATCCTCCTGCTCATCAATTTGCACAGTGCTGCTTATCTGTAAACGCAAAATATGCCTTTCTTCACTTTAGCTGTTATCTTCTCATTTTCTTATCTCAATGCCGCCTTGCACGTCCATTCATGGAGGCCGGCTGGTTAATCTGAGCCTCAAGAAAGTTTATATCGTAGAATGCCACATTTTAATTCTCTGATATCATGTTACTATTTACTAGGCTGCAAAAACTCACCTACTAGTTCAGAAGATATTTGTATGGGCAGTAAATATTGAAAAGTACGATATAAAAATATTTTATTCATTAAGTGTCCATACATCCGGTGAAGCTCCGTCTGTCATTCCAAGGGTTGGGAATTCACCTGGAGGCCCAGGTATGTTAGTCTTATTTTCGCTATGCCGACGCAAATGGGAGGATTGAATATTCGTAATGGGACTAAACAAGGATTTCACAGAAGGATGAGCAGCGAATATTGTCATCTGGGCAAGAAATACATTAGTCAAATTCTAATTCTTGTTATGGTTATGGTGCCCTCGTGCCCTCGGAAGGGTACACGATGCAACAAGAGAGCGTGATACAGTCACAGTTAGATGGTATGTATAGGTTACAGATGAACCACTGATGGCATGACTGTAAGCACCATGCTCTACAACACCCCCATTTAGTTCACCTCTAATCGGCAATTGATGATTATAGTATTAATCGGGTCCGTGGGCACCGCGCACTCTAATTTCTCCGCACTTTGGTTCTTGGCTGCATCCTGGACCCTTTTCGGGACCGTTTCGGGACCACATCTGCAAAGAAGATATAGAGGATTGTGCTCGGCAGCATCTTGGCAATGCTGCCAAGGGACCATTGACTAGATATTACTGTTGGAATAAAGAATTAGGCTTTACCAAATAGCTGATGTGCTAAGTGCATCAGTAGCCGATGTTGTGTATATGCATAGCAGTCAATTGCCGCCTCTATATTAAAAGATGCGTTACTATCGCACATAGTGACTGGTATACTCCTGGCAAGATCAAATCTTCTAATAAACTTACCTTGACTTTGTGAAGATGAGGTTCCTCTTAGTATTGTCAATATTATCCCTAATCCAACATGCAACCTCTACACCCTCACTTTTCCACCCACGTCAAACGGTCCTGCAGAGACCAGCAATGCTAAAGCCCCAACAAACAACTTTCAGAGATATAGTCTCCCTTGATGGACTTTGGAAGTTTGCTCTCGGATCCAGCAATAATGAGACGACCGCACCCTGGACAGCTCCATTAGCCACCAATCTCGAGTGTCCCGTCCCAGCCTCTTACAATGACATCTTTGTCGATCGTCAGATTCATGACCATGTTGGATGGGTCTACTACCAGCGCGAGGCTATTGTTCCCAGTGGCTGGTCACACCAGCAATATCTCGTGCGCGTTGAGGCCGCCACGCACCATGGTCGCATCTATATCAACGATCATCTAGTCGCCGAGCATGTGGGTGGCTACACACCTTTCGAAGCAGATATCACGGGTCTCGTCTCTGCAGGCGATAGCTTCCGTCTGACTATCGCCGTAAGTAACGTGCTGACTCACGAGACTATCCCTCCCGGCAGGATCGAGGTGGAGGAGTACACAGGTAAAATAACACAGGTCTACCAGCATGATTTCTTCAATTATGCTGGACTTACACGCTCCGTCTCGCTGTACTCTGTTCCCAAACAGCACATTCAGGACATCAGAGTTGTCACTAACGTGGACGGCACAGCCGGGCTGATCGATTACCTTGTCACAGTATCAAACTCAACGACAGAGCGCATCAAGATCAACGTGATCGATGAGGATGGAAAGACTGTTGCCGAGGCATCAGGTACTCGTGGTACTGTCACCATAGATCCTGCCAGACTGTGGCGTCCGGGAGATGCATATCTTTACCAGTTTCGAGTGAGCATAGTGGGCTCGGACGACAGTACAATTGATACCTATAGTGTTGCGACGGGTGTACGCACAGTCAAAGTCAGCGGGAACCAATTTCTCATCAACGACAAGCCATTCTACTTCACCGGCTTCGGGAAACACGAAGACAGTAACGTGCGCGGCAAAGGTTACGACCCAGCGTACATGGTCCACGATTTTCAGCTGATGAATTGGATGGGAGCAAACTCATTTCGCACTTCACACTACCCCTACGCCGAAGAGGTGATGGAATTCGCGGACCGGCACGGAATTGTTGTCATTGACGAGACGCCTGCTGTTGGCCTATCATACTCCATTGGGGCTGGTCAGTCCAGCGAGAACAGTCAGCAGACATTCACCCCGGAAGGAATCAACAATAAGACGCGCGAAGCTCACAAGCAAGCAATCCGGGAGCTCGTTGCTCGGGATAAAAACCACGCTAGCGTTGTCATGTGGTCAATTGCTAATGAGCCTGCATCGCATGAGGCAGGAGCTCGTGAGTATCTCTCGCCACTGGTTGACCTGGCCCACGAGCTTGACTCCACCCGTCCAGTCTGTTTTACAAATTACGGAGATGCTACCTATGAGCTTGATCGAATCTCGGATATGTTTGATGTTCTCTGCCTCAACCGCTATTTCGGGTGGTATACCCAAACTGGCGAGATTGAGGAGGCAGAGGCGGCTCTCGAAAAGGAGCTACTGGGCTGGGAGGGCAAATACGACAAGCCCATCGTCATGACAGAATACGGGGCGGATACCATTGCTGGCCTCCATTCTGTGCTTGGGCTTCCGTGGAGCGAGGAGTTCCAGGTCGAACTGCTCGACATGTATCATCGGGTATTTGACCGTGTGGAGTCAGTGGTGGGAGAGCAAGTCTGGAACTTTGCTGACTTTCAGGCGGCTGTAGGGGTCAGCAGGGTGGATGGTAACAAGAAGGGTATCTTTACGAGGGATAGGAAACCAAAGGCTGCAGCCCAGACTTTGAGAAACCGATGGAGGCATATGTAGGTAGCCTATATCGGGGCCATAGGGGCAGAAACACCAGTCTTTGCTTTTTATTAGGGTACTTGAATGCGCGGCTAGAAGGCCAAGCGTCTTCGCCAAACCTCCTTCCATCTCACGGCACGGGCCGATGCCAATAGCTTACTGGCAATTCCGGCGTTATTACCACATGGCACGATGCCTCACAAAAAAAGGAGCTAGACCCACATTTGCAGGCCATTTGCGTTGAATTTTTTGTTGTTTTGCCGACCGGCTCATCGGCCAGTAAGTAGTCTAGTCTAAAACAATGAGCCGGACATCCACCCAATTGGGTCCCCATTATGTCTCTCCTGCCCCTTTCTTGATGTTCCTCCTTATGTCTCCACCTTTAACACAGGCAGATCCAACCAGTGGTCAGCATCGCGATCAGAGCCCATAATAGCCATGACGTTGTGTAAATCTATGATCGATCTATTTCTCCACTTGCTGCCGTTGAAGGTGTCAAGGAGTGCTGCCTACATATTGAGTCCTCTGGACTCTTGTGGCCATCTGTCTGCAGAAGACTATCCCACCACACCTTTTCTTCGGTTATTTGATTTTCTTCACTCTTTTTGTCGTAGCCGCTCATTTATTGAATTTGTTTTTCTACCACTGCATTTTCCTCTTCCCTAGAGGCTGTCACGTTCCTTTCCTTTTTATTCTTCACGATAGTCTCCGTTTCATGGCTGTCAATGCAGGGCAAGATCACTCTCCTCGACAGTACCAACACCTAGAAGAGGACCACATCCTCTCCAATCATGTCAAGCATGATGTGGGAAAAGACACTTCTACTGAAACAGCGGAGGATGTCTTTCCCACTGATCATCAGAGCAAACAAAGGGTCGCAGTTGTGATGACATCCCTGAGTGTACGCATACCCATATAATCACCGTCACTGTCTTGTACACTGTCTAATATTCGTGCGTAGTTATGTGTTTTCCTAGCAGCGCTAGACATCGTAGGTCATTAAACCCGATCATACTTGGCAAAATCCTTACACTTCCACAGACGATTGTCTCCACAGCTCTTCCAGAGATGGTCGCCCATTTCAAAGCTTCCGACAGCGCTTACACCTGGATTGCCTCGTCGTATCTGCTAGCCAATGCCTCCTGTGTGCCGCTGTGGGGTCGTATCAGCGATATCTGGGGCCGCAAACCGATCCTTATGACAGTTGTCGCGTTGTTCCTGGGCGGTAGCTTGATCTGCGGCGTAGCGATCAATGTTAATATGGTCATCGCAGGCCGCGCGATTCAAGGCGTAGGCAGCGGCGGCATCACTGTGTTAGCCAATATCTGCGTGTCGGATATGTTTAACGTGCGTCGTCGATCAGCCTACCTAGGGATTTTCGGCGCAACCTGGGCGATTGCTGGTGCCATCGGACCCATCATCGGTGGCGCATTCACGACTTACTCGACCTGGCGATGGTGCTTCTATATAAATCGTTCGTCCTATTCCCCACGTCTTCTCCTGATGGCAGTCTTCTAAACCCCCATCTTCAGTACCTATCGGCGGCCTCGCCTTCTTTGGCCTTCTCTTCTTCCTACAACTACACACTGCGTCTCTCACCCCTCTCAAAGCTGGCCTCCTCTCCCTCGACTGGATCGGACTGTGCCTCATCGTCGGCGCGACACTCATGCTCCTCTTCGGCCTCGAGCTAGGCGGCTCACTCTATCCATGGTCTTCCCCCACGATCATCTGTCTCCTTATCTTCGGCGTCCTCACAGCCGGTCTCTTCCTCGTCTACGAAGCCCGAGTCGCTCAGATCCCCATTATCCCCACAACGCTCTTCTCCAACCGCTACAACCTCACCATCCTACTGATCAACTTCTGCCACTCCACCGTCTTCCTGGGCTCCTGCTTCTACCTCCCCGTCTACTTCCAAAACATCCTCCTCGCCAGCTCTCTACTAAGCGGCGTATACCTCCTCCCACTAGTAGGAGCCCTCGCCATCTCATCCGGCCTGGCCGGCTTCGTCATGCGCACCACCGGCCGCTCCCGAGAGGCCATCATCCTAGGCATGTTCCTCGCCACCCTGGGCTATGGCCTATTCATCGACCTCCCCGCCACCAAGTCCTGGCCGCGGATTATTCTCTTTCAGATCGTCGCTGGTCTCGGCATCGGTCCTAACTTCCAGGCTACCTTGATCGCCCTGCAGGCCAACACCACCCCCGCTGAGCTGAGTCGCGGTACTGGAACATTTTCGTTCGTGCGCCAGCTGGCTGCCGCGATATCTGTCGTTGTGGGGTCAGTACTGTATGCGCGCGCTGTAAGCGGGCAACGCGGACAGATGGCCGCGGTGCTGGGGGAGACGGTCGCGCAGGAGATTGTGGAGGCTTCGACGGCTGCTGCTGCGATTGTGGAGACGTTGCCTGTTGGCGAGGATCGGACGGTGGTGTTCCATGCGTTGACGGCTGCGTTGCGATGGGTGTGGGTTTTTTATACTGCTGTCGCCGGGGTGGGGTTTCTTCTTAGTCTGACTTTGCGTGATATTCGGTTGGGCGATGCGCATCGAAAGGCTACGGACGAGGAGATTGAGGGACAAGAGATGGAGAGAGGAAATACTTCTAATCTTGAATAGTCACATGACTATAGTTAGTGCGCATTACATTTTCATTATTTCACTGAGTGTGCTAGAAAAGAATTGCAATATATAGCACATAACATAATCATATAGACCAGGTGAGTTACACAATAGTATGCACTTTGCATGTGAGTCAGTCTTGCCATCCCTCCCAAATGTACCCAACATAATCAAACACCATCAACCTCAAAGGTAATTTCCACGTCCCAAGCATACAATAAATAAAATAGATACATCACTTAGTAGAAGGATTCGGCATCCCCTCGGTATGCGGCCACTTCCGGAACAAATCCGCCAGATGATCAATGGGAGCCGTCAACAATCCAATCGCCGTCTCGAAAGGCGGCTTATCAGGCGCACTAGGATGAGACCGCGACGGCACAAACATCTTCGTCCTTCCAAAGGACTTTGCAAGCTTCTCGCTTTCCTCTACCGACACGGCGTCCTCCAGCTTCGGTAGATCTTGACTCTCTTCTTCCTTGATGTGCTCGGACAGATCCTTCATCAGAGCCCGGACAGTAGACTCGAATGCCGGGTCTGTGGGCTTCATGTTTTGGAATTTCTTCAGTTGTTCTTTGACCTACAGACACTATTATTGATACTTGTTGGGTGGAAGGGTAGTGAAAAGGATGATAAATGACTCACAGATTGATGCTCTTTACGGTCCTTATCCGCCATAGCCAGCCCGTCAGGAAGTGACTTCTCGAACTGGGGATAGACGACCAGCTCCTCAGCAATTGAATGACGGGCCAGTTCCCAAGTAAATTGGTTCTGCCATTTAGTTTTCTCAGTCTCGGTAGCAGAGTTTAGGATCTTGTTGTAGTAGTCTTCAATCTCGCGGTGGTCGGTCTTGATTGCCTCGGATATACGAGATGCCATGATGATAGGTGATTGGGATATTAATCGGTGTTGTATTTGAATAGATAGTAAGGGCTTGAGAATAGGGCGAGAAGGGTTGACAAGATGGCGGATAGTCATTATTAAGGGCTAAAGAAGAGTACTGGTTACACTATGTAATTTATCGGTGGTCCTTCTAGCCTTTTTTAAACTGTGTGTAGCTAGACGTCATTATGAATTACTGTGTAACATGTCCCTTGCTGTCCGTACTAAATACGATCGTGGTTTATACTTAAGGTTTGGGCGGCATCATCATCACGACAGCTGCGGTTGCCGAGTGATGACCAGGCGGCGCCTTTTACTAATAACCCACGCGGGAAGCCAAGGTTGTTAAATCTTGTTCCTGACCAATGAACTCTTTGACATTTGTAAGTGTGGGATAGTCTGGACAATGACGAGAGTATTGAATAATAAGTATCGGATGGAATAAGGAAAAACAATAAGAAGAAAGATGACATCATAGCAAGAATGTTTTTAGAAGAAATTAGAGTGTGTTGTTACCCGGTTGCTCCGGATGGTTATCCTATGTCCATCCATACAGTACAATCTGGTATATCCTACCTAAATGAAGCCTCCAGTTTACGAGTCTGCTGCGGAGATGGGGAGGGGGTGGATGCATAGTTCTCCGGGGGTGTGTGCGGTATCCCGCAGCTGGTGAACGTTTCCATGCACTGCGACTATGTATTAAGTTAGCTAGCCATAATCGGTCCCCATAAAAGAACAACAAGACTGCCGCAAGCAACTTGAAACGTCAATCACGGTGCTCAGGAGAGTCTCGGCATATGAACTCTTGGCCATCTCGGCATTGTCAGACCCACCAGTAAGGACACAACTTCAACTAAGCACCAAGAATAGCACTTAACGACATGGCGTTGTAACTTATCCTCGTGTCGAGTTCTATCTGTGTGCAGTCACCAAATTATACTTTGCAGAGGTGTGGTTCAAGCTCCTTTCATAAGACGCGAGTCAGGAGAGTTTCGGCGTGTCTCTAATTCAGCCCCACATACCTCCTATCATGGAATAAGCTCTGCTGCATTCGGGTCCACTTTGGGACTGGATCGAGACGATCAGTAGATGGGGAACTGTTGATCTGATGTTGTGGAATGCGGGCGATTTGATTAGAGGGGGTGTGTATTGACCTAGTCTACAATGGTTTGTGGAACTGTGGGGGGTGGGAAGGTTATAAGGATATGAAACAAGTGAAGAGCACTACTGAAACAGAGCTTGGGCCATTGAATCATTCCTAGGAGAGTAGTAAGTGATGTCGACCGGGAAAACCTCCTGAATTCTACCAGCACAGCTAAGGGAGATGATTTTGCGAGAATGGCAGTACTGGCAGAATGGGAAGTAGGCCATTAATGCGACTTGTCCAGCAAACCCCTTCGTTGAAATCACAGGAACTTTCCAATTGATATGGGTTTTGGAGTGGCAATTGGACCCTTTACACTTCATATTCAGAACTAGACTTACTGTTTCAACGCCGACGCCCTGTCATTAGCACGCGAGTCGTGCTGCTGCTGATGATGAGATGAACCGTTTCCCGCTTGTAAATCCCCCAGTAGGTGGAGTTTCGATGTGCTGCCGATCCGATCCTTTACCATCCCTTCTTGAGATGCGCTTTAGCTCTTACAAATGCGTATAAGGCCCTTCTGCTCCCTGCTTCTTGAGTTTCGAGCCAATTGACTAAACGAGCTCCCCATTGTCTGCTGGTCAGAATGGAATACACCCTACCGTTGGTTGGCCACAGCCTAGCAATTTTCATCGTCTCGGCTGTCACGGTTGGATTAGCGATAATTGCTGTGGTGTTGCGATGTTTTGTGCGGTTATACATCCTGCGTGCGTTTGGGTGGGATGACGCGCTTATGGTAGCAGCGCTGGTAAATTGTCTTCATCCTCTCCTGAGTAGATCTTGGATATCGAAGACTGACTAATTGTAGGCGCTGTTCATATCATTGAGCGTGCTGTGTATGTTAGGGACGGAAGCTGGGGTCGGTCACGCACTCGCGGACTTCGAGTCGATCAGTCTAAAGAGCATGAATCCCTCGGAAAGTCTGCACGCAGTGCAGTATGCGATGATAGTACGTTCCACCAAGCCGCTCTGCTCATCATGACCTGCCTCTAACACCTATCAGTACTGGTGGCTTGGACAAATGCTCTACCTGTGGGCGTCGGCCGTCGCCAAAGTAGCCATTGCCCTTGCCCTCCTTCGACTGGCTGTTCGCCCGCTGCACCGCTTTCTCCTCTGGACTGTCATAGGCACCGTGATATGCATCGGACTAGTATTCTGGCTTATTCTGCTGCTCGATTGCCTGCCAATCGGGTACTTTTGGGGGCAGATCAACCCTCTCAAGTCGGGAAACTGCTTATCAACCGATATCCTCCTCATCATCGCATACACCTACAGTTCGCTCACCATTTTCTGTGACTTTACGCTTGGGATCTTCCCAGCAGCGTTGATCTGGGGGCTGCACATGTCGCCACGCACAAAGGTGGCGTTAGGTGCGATTCTCGGGCTTGGAGCAGTGTATGTGAAGTCCCACGCCCCTGAAAGAGGACAAGCTAATCAATTTTATAGTGCAAGCGTGGCTGTGGTCATCCGCCTCCCTTACCTAAAGCACTATGCCGACGCAGATTTCCTTTGTAAGCTTCTCCACAACCCCATCACAAGAAGGGTTGTCTAACAATGCAGACTCGACTTACCAAATCGCCATCTGGTCCGTCATGGAAACCGGCCTCGCCATTATCGCCGGCAGCCTCATTACCCTTCGCCCGCTCTTCCGCTGGTTTCTCGACGGCAGCTCGTCATATCGCTTGGACAGGCCACATTGCGTGCGGCGGGGGCCCTGCATTGCGGGGGGTTATGGATTGTCAAGCTCCACGCTGAAGAAATCGGTCACCAAGGATGAGGTGAACTACTGGCTGCCGGATCTTATGTCTGTAGATAACTCGCACGCACACGGGGTTATCACGTCTGTCTCGACGCCACTAGGGAGGAGATGCTTGAATGGTAGTCAAGAGAACTTGACGGGCGGTTGGCACGGCGGAGTGCAGCATAAGCATCGGGTTAGCGTTCATCGCACATTTACCGTGGAGGATGAGGTGTAGAATACAAGAAATAAGACAAATGATATTGAAATGGATCGGCAACGCAAGTGCTTAGATGAGAAGTGCATTGGGGCACTTTCTCGACGTGGAAATCTCATATTCATTGTTCATGGAGATGTGTGCCATCAGAACAGGCCATCGCTGTCTCTCGCGAGCATGTCCACAACCTATACCTGTTGATATAGTGATCTATCCTCGAGAAGGGAATTCGATTGTGGGAATGAAACATCCCATTGATATGGAAGCAGATGGGGAAGTTTTGTTATCAGAACGTACAGTGCCGCAGCGTCTAACAGTATCATGGATGCAGTGGGTGCTGTCTACATGAACCAAGGATGAGTGCTACTTTATTGTTGGGCGACCAGGGTGACTTTAGGATAAGTGCATAAAGGTTGGGATAACCATGCTTACCCCGCTCATGCCCACTTAATTAATGAGATAGATCAGATGCTGCTGGCTGTGGCACTGTCTTCCTTGGCAGCATGCACGGCCACGTACTGACATGAGATTGGTAGATATACCGATACAACAATCCGGAAGTCCATAGGAAGTACTCCGTACAGAGTAACGACATGTTAGCATCCTACGATCTACCTAGGTCTAATTACCTGTATCTACCCTACCTTCCCCTGTAGCGCTCGATAGTGACCAGTAGTGAATTTTCTACGTGCTTCCATTTTACCGTATACTTAGCAGTATTTTGAGGTAACATAGTATACATAGAACATAATACTGTATTTAGCTATCACTGCTCTTCAATTACAATTCATTATTATTAGTTTGCATGCTACGCGCAACATTCCATTCCTCACAAAATGGGAAATTGATAACCGTATGATCTTTAAAGGGCTGAGGGATCGACAGCTGATAAGAAGTCAGCCGGTACTCTTTTACTGTACGTACTAGTTTCTTGGTTGCCTGTCAGTTCAGAAACATCTTTTAGAATGGAAAGGAACGGGCAGGGGCCAGTGAGGAGAGGTAGAATAAGAAAAGAAAAGGCCTTATGATAGCTTTTACTAGAAGGGATGTTAAGATGAAGCTTGTATTTCAGCTTGAGGAGAAGAGGAGTTAACATCAGGTATCTTAGTAGTAGGTGACGCATAGCGCTGGCCATCATGCTACAGCCACTGCAGTAAAGAAGGCCACAAATTTTAATGTCCAACTAGATCAATCACCGAGTAAGGCCGTATATATCTATACTAATGTGATGTTGAAAGGCTTCAATATTTGTTGGTTAATTATCAATACACGCGATTTGTTATGGCAGCGGTCCGACCGCAGCCTTCGTTGTCTGATCACATTAGATCAAAAGAGGGGGAAGTCCTCCTAGACAAAATTGCTCACTACCCCTCCATGTTTACCACACCCATACCTTGCTCAAACAAACCCCTGGCCTATAAAGGGACCATCAACCTAGGTATATTTTTTCTTTCCCTTTTAGTTGTTTTGATGATGGGTTGTTTACTTTGACGTTTCTGAAGCATCTCTTTGCATAAAACTCTGGCCAAACAAATATGGGGTCTCACGATTACAAACGTAAACCTAGGTTCTCTTCAAGGCATCAAACATGCTCGTTGTGTCAGGCTAATGAGGGAAACTTGGTACTAAGATACCACTCACCAAAAGGCTATTATCAGAACTATAGAGACAAGTTTCACGGCATGACAGCGAATGATTTATTTCATACTGAGTGCTCAGAATGCTCCAACATCCAAACAGATCCCCTTTGTCAGTTCTGTGCACATATGAGGCTAGGACACCTTGCACGATGTATCCTCGTCTCTGAATACGACGCAATATTACGAAAACATAGATGGTACACAAGGAATACGGATTACCTTAGAGGTTTCAATTTCAATTTGGGAACTCTGAAAGATGTTCAAAAACGATCTACGTCTTGTCAGACCTGCGGAACATTTGCCAGTCATGCAACGTCAATAGCAAACCAGAATCTACTTCCATCGCAGACAATGATCAAACTGGATGTGAGATTGAATCCTGCGCTAATGAGAGGTATCAAATATGAACTGGTGATCACGTTGTCACTTGGATCACTTAAGGCTTCCATAGTTGCTACCAATTATCGTAGGTAGCCCCCTCCCCTCTCTTCATCGTATGGGTCTCTCTGAGCTCCTAATAATATACCTGTGGTTGAAATAACGAGATTAACGAGATTTGTTCTACAGAAAACGCAATCTTCTTCGGGGCTGCGGGTGCACTATCGGGAAACAATCTGATATCTCTGCAAAGGCCAGAGCCGCAAGTAAACTGGAACAGGGTTATCACTTGGCTTCAAGACTGTGCAGATGGCGCCGGTCATGAGGTACCCCATCATCATGAAACATATGACTTACCAGTGGAAGAATTTCGCGTCATTGACACCTATAAAAGATGTGTCATATTGGCTCCTCAAGACTGCAAATACGCCACTCTAAGCTATGTTTGGGGTAGAGGAGGTGACCTCCTACAAGCAAAGCTGGATAATATTGACAATCTAGGCAAGGAAGGGTCTCTTGCAGATGATGACTGCTTGCCAGCAACAATCAATAATGCAATAGAGGCATTTTTTAGCCTAGGAATACCATTTCTCTGGGTTGATCGACTTTGCATATTACAAGACGATGAGCCATGCAAAAAGGCAAAACAGCTGAATGCCATGGGCAAGATATACAATCAGTCATATCTAACCCTAGTTGCTATGGCGGGAAGTGATGCACATTACGGTCTTCCCGGAACAAATTCAAAGAGGCGATCCCCAATGTGGACAGGTCAAACACAGGGAATATACCTGCTTCAAGACATTGACGCGTACAATAAGATTTGTCAATCCTCAAAATGGCAAACTCGAGGATGGACATTCCAAGAAGCAATCCTTTCACCAAGATTACTAGTATTCACTGATCAAGGGGTATTTTATCATTGCCATGGGAAGACCGCACCCGAGGATGAGGACTGTCCAGGTCATTACTCTACATCTTCAGATGTCCAAATCCCGTGGTCTAAATATTCGGATTTGTTAGGCGAATACACAAGCAGGGATCTTACTTGCAAGTCTGATATCCTCTTCGCATTCTCAGGGATCTTGCACTTCCTTTATGGACAAAACCATCATTATGGCCTGCCGTTTAGTGACTTTAGCCGGGCTCTTCTTTGGAAGACCAAAGATGGAAAATATCCTATGCGATATCAAAACGTACAAGAAATGTTTCCATCATGGTCTTGGTTGTCCGTTGATAATGAAATACGCCTCAGCCCTAGAAACGGGAGATGGGAGAGAATTTCTGCATCGCTAGCACAAATTGCTATCCCGTCATCCCAGGATGGGCAAACTCGATGGACAGTTCTTCAAAGTGCATTGACAGATCCCCATAAGCTAGATTCTCGGGATTTCAAAGTGCATATTTTGGCTCGTCTTGCTGTATTAGTAGCCTGGAAGGGGGGTTGCTTCCCAGGTAAGCTCCCGAAAGCTCTTGATGCCAAGGTTACTTGGGAAGAATATGATGATATCATTCGGAGGAGATGGACATCGCTTGCCCAGATGGTTGATGAAGCATACTGCATGCAAGGAGGCCTCCTCGCTGTGAGCGACCAAGAGGCAAGGTTTCCGCCCAAAGCCCAGCATGCTTGTCGAGATGGATGCATCCTTGTTTATACCCAGTCACTTCGGCTTCGCATGGAACGCCCTGAAGGCTCCATGGGCTATGTCAAGCTTCTCGATCAAGGTGGCAACATAGTTGGGTGGTTAGAACCTACTTCTATTAACTGGGGACGCCTTCGTCATATTCCTGATTGGAATAATGGAGCCGAATTCGATGTCCTGGCTTTGTCCTTGCCGTACGATACAAAAAGTACTGGTCTGTACTCCGTACATCATCCTGCACAAAGCTATGACCGCGACGTCGCGGACTGGCGTGACTCGGAACAAAAAACCATCTTTATAAACGACTACTTCAGTCACTACTATGTCCATGTGGTCACTGTGAATTTGATGGTCGTTGAGTCAGAAAACGGCATCAGGAAGCGGGTTGCACTTGCAGAGGCTGCTCTTAAAATTTGGATACAAGCAAAACCCCAGTTTCACACCTTTATTCTTGGATAGAGATTCCGCAAACAATAAACAGGTATAGCATCTCGACTTCTATCATATATTTCATAACTCGCCACTTCATCAGTATACCAGAGCCTGGACCAATGTCTCAAGAAATTAGAAACTACTTTGTGTTTCGATTAAGCAAAGTTAAAAAAGCAAGAAAATCACAAGGTAAAGCACCTATTCACTATTAGCCAGTTCAAAAATTATAAACAGTAGGGAATTTCTACCTTCAACATCATGGGGTTTTTACCATCACATGTCGTTTCTACAGTTCTCTGGGTATGGATAAGTCAAGACAGGAAAGATATGCACGACAGAAATGAAAAAACACCAACTTCATGAGACATATTTTTCTGCTTGTTACTATGAGTAGGTAGCCATCTTCTGCTCGCCCTTCTTCGCGAACTACATCGTAAGCAAAACAAAAACATACAACAGAAGGGATTCGCTGGTGGTCACCCACCCAACTACTAACCTCCCGGCGTGTGGCTTAAGTACGGCTGAGCGGACGGGAAGCCCTGTTTTCCACACCCTATGGTCGTATGTACTCTATCTTTCATTGGCAAGGTTTATATCATGCAATGTGATGCTACACAAGAAGAGCAACAACGAGAAGTTACAACCACCATCCACTGTCTTTTATTTGCGTGGGGGTGAAGCCCCATCGGTCGAGTAAAGAATGCGGAAATTTAAGGCACGGATGCTAGCAATGCAGCATCCTAAAACCCTGATCTTGCACGAATGATAAACTGGACTTAACTAACACTCATAACAATCCAGAACAATAATGGTTTACTTATTGCACTCGGATTTTTCCCTTGAGGACTGGGTTTTTCATTGAATTGGTTAGTATGTCCCGGTTTCAGTGTACGTAGTAAGTACTAGTGGCATTCTACTATGTAAAGTGCCCGCAGAACACAAAGCAATGAGATAGGAGCAGAAACCATGATTATTATTCAGGATCCCCATGTACTCGGATAAAATATAGCTAGACAGTATTATGTTGGACATTATCAAGGTATAATATAAGCGAGCATCAAACTGCCCATGTTAAATTCCGAGAACTCTACCCGGACGAACAACTGACTCAGGGCGTAGGGTAATCTAGAAGGTCTATCTTAGTATCTGGGAAAATGCACGAAGGCGAAAGAGGAACGACCGTTGATGATTTACGACTGCTGGTAGAAATGAGTGAAAATTCTACTGAACATTCAAATAGATAGGCGTATAGG